TTGGTAGTTCGGGTTGTCAGCGAGAACTCGAAGACAATTATAGGATATACCCCGCAGGATCTATTCAAGCTCAAGAGTTTCACCGACATACTCAGCGAGGAGCAAGCGGACAATCTCCTAGATCATGTCGACTTCATTCGAGACGACGAAGCCGATCCCGCCAACAACGGGCCCGAGGTTTTCACGATTTCCGTCAAATCCCCCTCCAGGTCAAGAAAAAACCAAAAGTTGTGGTGTGGCATGCACGTTCACCCTTCGTATCCAGACTTGGTCGTATGCGAATTCGAGATAGATGAAGATCCTATATTCCCACTTGTGCCAGATGAGGATATACCGAGCTCCCCAGAAGACACTCTGCATAGCAACCCGACCCGGGAGGAATACAGCGAAAGCACCTCAATCGGAAGTAAACCATTGAGGGTGCTGAGGAACGCGAGGAAGCGAAGAGGGGAAGAAGCTGCCATGCAGGTCTTCAACATCATGTCTCAAGTCCAGGAGCAATTGGCCAATGCTCCAAATCTTGAGACTTTTTTGAAGATTTTAGTGGGTGTTGTCAAAGAATTAACAGGATTTCATAGGGTAATGATATATCAGTTCGATGGCGACTTCAATGGGAGGGTAGTTACTGAACTTGTGGATCCACGAGCGACCAAGGACTTATATAAAGGCCTCCATTTTCCAGCCTCGGATATCCCAAAACAAGCCCGAGATCTGTACCAAGTCAACAAGGTGCGGCTCTTGTATGACCGTGATCTTGAGACAGCTCGACTTGTCTGCCGCTCGACGGAAGACCTTGAACAGCCTCTCGACCTATCATTCAGCTATCTGCGAGCGATGTCACCAATCCATATAAAGTACCTTGCCAATATGGCCGTACGATCAAGTATGAGCATATCGATCAATGCCTTCAACGATTTATGGGGTCTAATTGCCTGTCACACTTATGGTCCTAGGGGGATGCGAGTTTCCTTCCCAATCAGAAAATTGTGTCGCCTGGTTGGCGATATGGCCTCACGGAGCATTGAGCATCTCTCTTATGCTTCGCGACTTCAAGCTCGAAAGCTGATTAACATGGTACCAACCGAGGCAAACCCGTCCGGTTATATCATAGCTTCATCCGAAGACTTACTCAGGCTTTTTGATGCCGAATTTGGTCTGCTATCCATACATGGCGAAACGAAGATTATGGGGAGACTCGAACAGTCTCAAGAGGCATTGGCGATACTTGAGTATCTGCGGCTTAAGAAGATAACCTCTGTGACTATTTCCCAAGACATCAACACAGACTTCCCCGATCTGAGATATCCTCTTGGGTTTAATGTCATTGCTGGCTTGCTCCTAGTTCCCTTGAGTGTCGGTGGCGCTGATTTTATTGTTTTCTTACGCAAAGGTCAAAACAAGGAAGTCAAGTGGGCTGGAAATCCTTACGAGAAGTTTATCAAGGAAGGGACTGAAAGCTATCTCGAGCCCAGGAAGAGTTTCAAAACCTGGAGCGAAACAGTTGTAGGGAAGTGTCGAGAGTGGAAGGAAGAGCAGGTTGAGACTGCTGCTGTTTTGTGCCTAGTCTATGGAAAGTTCATCGAGGTGTGGCGGCAGAAGGAAGCCGCACTACAAGGCAGCCAACTCACTCGATTGTTGCTGGCAAACTCAGCGCACGAGGTCAGAACGCCACTCAACGCAATCATCAATTATCTAGAAATTGCCCTTGAAGGGGCCCTCGACCAAGAGACAAGAGAGAACCTCGCAAAATCCCATTCGGCGTCTAAGTCGCTCATATATGTCATCAATGATTTACTAGATTTGACCAAGACTGAGGAAGGACAGGAATTAATCAAATACGAGGTTTTCGACCTACCCGCGACGATACGAGAAGCAGCTGATTCTTTCGTTGGGGATGCCAAGCGGAAAGGGCTAGATTATCAGGTTATCGAACATCCTAGAGTTCCTCAGTTTGTATTTGGAGACCAGCGGCGTGTGTGGCAGGCAGTTTCCAATCTTACTGCAAATGCTATACAACACACAACCTTTGGTTGGGTCCGTATAGAAATGTGGGCACAGGATATCGTCGATGGCAAGGTCAATATTGAAATCATTCTGCAAGACTCTGGGGCGGGCATGTCCAACGAGAAGCTTGACTCGCTATTCCAAGACCTAGAGCAAGTGACATCCGACGGCATGTCGGTGGATGGATCAGAAGATGTCAACCCAGGTCAAGCATTGCATCCTACCAAGGATACTAAGGGTCGACGTACCCTTGGTCTAGGTCTCGCTATGGTGGCAAGAATAGTGCGCAACATGGACGGACAGTTACGATTGAAGTCTGCGGAAGGGAAAGGATCACGATTCGTTCTTCAACTACCCTTTATCATTCCGGAAGATGGCTCTCCAGCCCTAGGCGAGAAACCCGTAACCTCTTCAATGTCTAATCTGCAGTTGCAAAATAGTTTAACAACGCCCCCACCTGGTGCCGACGGTGAAGTTACCCTCGTTGCCAAAGCAAGTTCCATCAAAGCAGACAACCGGGTCCAGACGCATTATGTTGGGGATTTTTCGAGTGTGCACAGTTTCAAAAGTGGTTCAAGTGCAAAGAGCGATGTAGACAGACTCATTGATGCAATATCGAGCCCCATCGCCGGAGGCGAGCCTAAGTCTCCTACCGGAGCCCAACAGCAACCCAGTAGCAAAGGGAGCATTCGTAGTCGGAAAAGTGCAGGGAGCATTGAAGCATCTAATCGCGGAGGGGCAACGAATGATATGCCAGGAAGGTTGACACGTTCACAATCGTATGGTACACCTGAACATCTCCATGGAAATACCGAAGGCCCAAACTGCTCGGAGTTCGTTACTGATAACAAGACGCTTTTGAGAGCAGCCAGGATGCCCGATGAGTTTGTGCAAGAGGAAAAGCCGCAGCTATCGACTTCGAGCGTTCTGTTCGATATACCAGATAATTCGCCGAAGGTCGCACCGCAAACATCGAAGAGCCTCGATGCTAATCATCTTCAAATCCTAGTTGCAGAGGACGATCCTGTCAACAGCAAGATAATCATGAAGCGACTGGGGAAAAGTGGCCATAATGTGCACCATACAGTTAATGGCGAGGATTGTGCATCTGTCTATTGTAACAAATCTACATTCTTCGATGTTGTGCTCATGGACGTGCAGGTAAGTGTTGATTTGTCTATGCCAATCAACTGGCTAATCATGTACTTTGCAGATGCCAATCATCGATGGTCTTGCCTCGACGAAGATGATTAGATCCTTTGAAAAATCGCAACCATCGAGCAATCTAGCGCCCCGTGGTTCTTTGAGCGGGAGAGTACCAATTTTTGCGGTCTCGGCTTCTCTAGTAGAACGCGAGCGCCAAATTTACATCGATGCCGGTTTTGATGGATGGGTATTGAAGCCAATCGACTTCAGACGTCTCAACACACTACTGCAGGGCATCGTAGATGATGATACAAGGAGCTCATGCCTGTACAAACCTGGTCAATGGGAGCGAGGTGGATGGTTCCACAAACGACGATTACAAGCTACTGAAGCAAATACACAACCTTCAAACAAATCACCGGTGCAGCCTTCACGCAGCAGTTCCGAGACTTTACAACCAAATGCGTATTCTCCTGGTAGCAACAATTGAGGCTCCAGAACATCAAGATCGAAAATGAGAGACAACCATACGCAACCTCTGATACACGATGAACGATTAGATGGTGTCAGCAATGATTCGTCAGCAGCTAAACTGACAGCTCTTCACAACCTCACGAGGAATGATTCTGAAGGATAGGGTTTTTCTGTCATGAGGCACGAATATACACATGGGCTTCCCGACAAGTAATGAGTGGACGAATTAGGAGCGGACGCTGAACAAGTATTTGAGAGGACTAGATCAGCTTTTAGCTCGGCAATTTTTGAGCTTTGCATGGATGGAGTTTAAGGGAGTTGGGATGATGCCCGTGCTAAGGCCGCTGCTATCTCTTGGGGTGGCTGTTTGTGTATGTCTTGAAGGAATGCTCTTAGGTTGCGTCTTCTAGGAGCTTGTAGATTACAGAACACATAGTCTTTGTAGATGGAGCTCAGATGTGAATATCAAGCAGGCATTGAATTGAGAAGGATAAAGGTAGTCGCGTGTAGCGATGCAGACGCATAATTTACGAGCGTTAGTTCTCTGTTGAATGCGCTATGAGTAAATTAAGTCTTTCGAGGAGCCGAACTTCGACGAGTCGCTCAAAAGAAGGAGGGAAAACCTCCGTGTTCTTCAACTTTAAAAGGAGGGATCATTCAAGTCTCTAAGCATGATGCTCAGTCATAATATTTAACAACCCTCTCATAGAGGGTTCTCCCCTAAAGGGTAGTGTTTCAAAATGTCTACCACCGCCTTGCTAATGCTATGATTCAACGCGATTTTAATTGCACTCCGATGATAATACTGTCATACTACTATCTTAATGCTAATTTTGCCTTACATCTCGGTTAGCTTGGCTCGCTTTAGTTCAAGTCTGAAGTCCTCCTTCCAACTTTAATAGAAGGAACATCCTTTTCACAATCGCCCTCTAGCTTTTTTCAAGCGTAACGAAATAAGGTTAGCTGCTACTCTTTATAACACGTGATCACTATACCCACCCTGCTCGAAAAATATTTTACGGAAAGAGGTTCCTGCATAGTCAAAATTCTGTCTTCCAGTTGGCTATAATGAGTGGATCACGGTTCTGCGCTTCCTATTACTTTTGGTGCTTTTAATATCAGCGTTTAATATGAATTCTAACTATAAAATACCCATTTTGATATCATTTTAGAGTGTAGGGAACCAAGGCCTCCACGGCAGTGGCCTCCAGGGGCCTTCGATAGCCTGCTACGCTTGACCTATCCATCCTGAAAGGGGCCGAGCACATTTTGTAACCCTGTCCCGGCCTCACCAAAAAAAAAACTTGTTGCCCTCCTCGCTTATGCCTCTTTGTCCACCACATCCATCCACTACTACTAAAAAATTTGACACAATCTGGAGAATGCAAGAATCGAACTCGCGACCTCTCCCATATCAGATCCGATGATGCTGCTAAGGGAACATTATACCACTAAACCAATTCCCCGTTGTCGTTCTTTATATATGGAGATGCAGATTTTTCCATAGAAGAAGTCGTGGATTCGATCGCCGCTTTTGCTTCTTCCGATTCTCGGTCTTTCACGCTTCTCGGGCCGTTTCCGGGATTACAGGGGGTTAGGTTTAACGAGAGGGGTTTCTCGCTAACACTCAAACGTAAATTCGTATTCACAAGATGGGTTTTACGGAAACTAGGAATCTGAAATCCATGCCATTAACAGTCACGAAGCGCCTAGTCTTCCAGGTTTCTCATCTTATGCTGCGCACTAAGTAGGCATTAGTTCAATTAACAGAGGACGTTAAGCACGCTGAAACCTTGGCGGCCCCTGCCCTTGACTACAGCTGCTGTAATAGGCTACGTTGTCGCGTTCTCGTTTAACTATATCTAATTCGATCTTACATGTAATAGGATGTCTTAAGGGTCGGGGTACCTATACGAAGACGTTCCATTTTTAGAGAGTTGTACAATCGATGTGACCCAGCGATATCCTCGGCCCGAACGCTAACAATTCTATAATCAATGTGTTACTTCCTACTCTGCCTATACTGTATCGTAATTCCCCTTAGAGTCTATGGGAAAGCTCCTTAAGGACAGACTCACTCCTATATTCGACCTTAGCTTTACTAGACTTAGACTAGTATAATATCCTACTATCGATCTTTTGCCTCGCTACTTACCTATAATATATCCTATACGAAGTAATAGCTACTCGTAATAATACTTATTCTCTACTAAGTAGGTCATTCACATTGAGCCTGATATTAGTAGTAGGCGTCTTCTTCCCTAGGTTTACTAACATCTCTACTACCCTTTAGTAACTTCTAGCTAGTAACCTAAACAGCTATAGTCGTATGCTTTATATCTAGAGATTAGTCGTTTTCTTTAGTAGACATGTTAAAGATTTCATAGGAGTATTAGTAGCGACGTATTTTAGTTTACGACTTCTTAGATTACTAATAATATATTCTAATAAATAATAGCTTTAATAGTCTACGTCTCTTATTCTAATAAAGCATATGATATTATTATCGCCTAGGTATCCTGAGAGCCTTATATAGGAGTTAGAATTTAGTTTCTAGGGTAGGGTAAAGAGAGTATTTCTTAAGAAACATTTAAAAGGGACTACTATCTATAATATAGGAATAAGCGAGTCTTTATATAGAGAATGACTGTCTGACTAATCAGGTTTTAATATCCTCTAGAATCTTCTTTACTACCTTACTAATAATTTATAATAATTACTAAGGAAATAAGTAACTCTTATAACTACTATTACGTTATAGTAGCTAATATATCCTCTTAGTATACGCTCCTCCCTTCTTAGTTTAAGTACGAGAAGGGTCCGCTAACGATCACTCCGATAGGAACTAGAAGAAAGAGCTTTTCTTTCCTTTATAAGAATTATCTACTTACGTTTCGGGGCGTCTAGAAAGCGGGCTAAATTTTTAGTAAGGAGGAGATCTCAGTCTCCTACATAGGTAAGTCTTCGGGAGTTTTAAGGGAGTTCTTTAGCGAGTGTCGAGCTAAGTGCCTAAAGCTCTTCAAAAACATAACCTCTGTCTTTGAGTATCGGGATTACGGCTAGAAAAAAAAGGGAGTAATAGATATTAGACTACTCGATACTATCATCCCTAACGAGAAGAAGAAGACGGCGGTATTAGAGGACGTTAAGGCTTTCCTAGACCCTTAAACACGAGCGTAGTATTCTCGGCGCGGTATCCTCTACTAGTCCTAAATGAAAAAATACCTCCTAAGACCTGGAGAGTTAGATAGAATAGTAGTAACTCTAAACCCTAAGGGGAAAAAATCCGCCTAGCTAGAAAAAACTATTAATAAAAAGCGAGAAAATCTAGTAGATCCACTTGTCGAAATTCGTAGTAAAGAGGAGGTTAATCGGGCAGAAGGTAGGTAACTAGGAATTTAACGAGGAGAAGGTCGATAATAGGGATGAAAGTGATTTATAAGATAAGCTAATATTATTCTTATTCTAGATTCCTAGAAGTATATTAACATAGCCTTTATGAATACTCTAGTTCTAGTTCTAGCTATAAGAGTAGTCGTAGTTTCTACTTTAGTTATACTTATAGACCTAGTCGTATCTAACGTACTAGGTGAATTTATACTAAATGACACTAAAGAGGTAAGTTCTTATAGTAGCTAAATAACTAAAAGATTTTTTTGGCTAATAAAGGAATCGAACCTCCGTCTTAAGAATTATCTAGTCTCGATAAGTCGTTTCTTATTAGTATTAACTTAGGTTCCGTAGTAGAGTTGTCTATAGGGATAGTAGAATATTTTTATTCTAAAATTATACGAATAAACTAACTAGTAGGTTTAATGACTAGCTGTTACTAAACATCTATTATTACTCTAAATCCTTCGACTCTTAAACCTCTATAAGAAATTCTCTAAAGGGCTTTATAATTCCCTCTACTACCGTTTTAACTATTAGAATGTACTAAATACCTATTCTCCTACTTAATAATATTACTATTTAATTAATATAAGACATTAATACGCTTTAATCTCTCGTATAGATATATATTATTAGTAAGAGTAATAGCTCCTTAATTATTATCGTATATTTAAACGCGCTCTAATCTTCTCTAATATACTTTCTTATTTCTATAGCTCTGAAAACTTGTGCGATCTACTAACCCTGTTTAGTACACTTTACTATAACCGTATATACTAATTTATAGTAGTATCTAATATATAGAGTGTATTTTTACTAAATAAAGCTAAAGAGATAACTCTTTAATTTCTTAAAGTTACCTAACGCTTTTAAATATTAGTAATTTATAGTAATAATTATACTTAAGATTACTTTAATCCTCGGGCTTTTTCTAGAAATAGTCTGTCTCTTAAAGTACGAACTTCGAAGGGGTTATAACTAGGAATAAACTCTAAATCTATTCTTTTAAGAAAAAATTAGAAGTACTATTAGAAATAGTTAAATAAGAAAGCTAGTTAAAACTATAGGTAAATATATTAAGTTTAAAATAAGCTTATATATTATTAATATAATAAGTAAGTTAAGTAAAGCTAAGAAAGTAACTTAAGGTAAGTATTCCTCTAATATAGTAAAAGTAAAGTAAATAAGTAAAGTTAATAACTAGTATTCTACTAACTATATTAGAAAGAAGTATAAATAGTATAGTTTTCTAATAAGTACTATAGCTTTCAACCTATAGTATTTATATTAATATTTAATAATATTTTACACCTATAACTAACGTAGTTTATTAGGACCTCGTTAATATTTTTACCTCTTACTACTTTAAAGTACGATTAATCTACTATAATATATAAATTTAATTAAAACTACTTAGAATATAATAGACTAGACATGTCTACATCTACTTAATAAGCTCGTATATTATAACTAGCTTTTCTATAAGTACTATAGCGTCGTCTAGACGATTACCCCTCCTTCTAGCTACCTCTCTCTATACGTATATTATATCGAACCTACTTATCTATATTCTTCTATATTAAAATGTCTTTTATATCCTCTATAGTAAGTGTACTACCTTAATAGATACGAGCCTTTTTAGCCCTACGACGCTTTCTAAGGGCTTCTTTTACTACTTAAAGTGTACGGACCTCCGCTAATAAAAGGGTTACTTTATAGGCTAACTACTCTATACCCTTTACTAACGTAATAACTGTTTAAAAAATAAGTATTAGTAAGCTTTCTTAGTAACGAGTAATATAGTTCTTAATAAGAACTATTTATGAGAGAGCTTTAGTAGGGTTATAAGAAGTGTAAGAGACCTAAGGGTCGGCGTCAGTAGAGGAGGGTCTAGTAGAGGTTAGTGTCTATAACTTTATATTAAGCTTTAAAATCACAGCCTAGGGATTAAAAGGTACTAAGCTAGCTCTATAGAATCTAGCTTAAGTATTTTAGACTGTTATTAATACTAAATACGCTACTTTAAAGGTAAGAAAGAACTCGATCTTTATAATATAATTAGTATAAGTCTTAATAAAAGTCTTAATCTAGCGACTATATACTCGCTTTAATATACTAAAACATCTAATATTAAGTAACTAGGTTAGATAAGAAGAGTAAGAAGGTAATCTAAGAGTAATAATATTATATATCTTATAGTACTCTTAGAATTTAATAAATTTATAATTCTTATATCTATTAAGAACTAGAATTCGATATAGACTCTTTACTTAAGTAGTAGTATACTTATTAAAGTACTAAAGCTATTCTAGATCTATCTTATTATTTATTTATCTATTACTTATAGGTTTAATAATCTAATTATATAAGAGACTACTATTAGTATACTAATTTATAAGATAATTCTTCTCTTAAACTACTAAAAATAAAGAGACACTTTAATCTTTACTATTAATATAAGTAATTACTATAGTCTACTCTTAATTATCTAACTAAACTACTTTATCTCTATTACGTCGATTTATATAAGTTACTACTATTACTAGATAAATAATATCTATTATAAACTCGGTTTTATTAAAGTTATAAAAATTATAATCTAAAATATTATATTTTACTTATATACTCTCTACTAGTTAAAACTACGAGCTAATTAGCTTAGAATCTTTATATAAGACTCTTTAGAAGTTATAAACACGATTAAAACTTATCTTTAACTCTAGATATTATTATATAAATTAATAAGCCTAGAGCTATCTAACGTATCTCTCTTCTCTTAATTCTAGAATAAAATTTATTATATCTTTTATACTAGCTAACTAGAGTATAAACCCTCTTATATCTATATTAAGTATATTTAAAATAATTATATTTTCTTCTAGTCTAGTTAATTTAGTATTTTCTAACTAACGTTTATAAATAGTAGTTTAGCTATTTATTCTATTAGAAGTATAATATATAAAACGTTATAGATTTTTATAGTAGTAGAAGAGTTAAGCTTCTTAGTTATTAAAATAGTACTAATAGCTAGAATAATTCGTACTTCTTAGGTTTAAATAGATATTAGTAGTTA